CAATTGAGGTCACAAGTTTAGCCATAAAAAATGGGACAACTGTGCCACTCAAAAAAAAAACAATTTGAAATGAAATTCATTATAACTTTCGCATGGGTATTTTTGTAATTAAACAAAATAAAGAATTATGGTTAATGACCTAAATGGTCCCTCAACTATCGCAAAATTATCATTTTGGTCCACCAACTAAAATTTTCAATTCAAACGTCCTTAAACTTTTTATAATGTACCAAAATCGTCCTTTCGTCAAAGTCTGTGAATTATTCCGTTAAATCGAGGGACAAAATCGTATTTTTAAGTGAGTATCCTCTTCTAATTAATAATTAAAAGTTAAAAAAATTAAAAACCAGTAAAACACACCCTTCTCCAATCCGTATTCCTTTAGTTTCAATTTGTAAGCACTCACTACTCTCAAGTCTCAACTGTTGGCTTAAATTTTTTGATATATAATCGTGATTTTTTATTTTTATACAGCGGAAATGATGAAGCGTTATTGGTTCCCCAATTTATAGTTGGTATCAGGATTCGTATAGTTGATATTTTTCTCATTGTCTTTTGTGTTCCTTTCCTTTCTCTCTTGGGTTTCAGGTGCAGTGTTGTGCATTTTGTTTCCAAAGAAAGAAGTAGAGAGATGGAGAAGGGCACAAAAAGGAAAGTTATTAATAATAAGGGAAAGGAAGAAAAGCTCATTGTTGAATGTGATGATGAATCTGACGCCTGGTGGTGGTTGGTCCACAAGGGAATCACAGCTTCATTCTTGTCCATTGCATTGTTTTCATTGTTGGTTCGAGTGGCTGTCTCACTCCATCCTTACTCTGGTGCTGGAAATCCTCCCAAGTATGGCGACTTTGAAGCACAGAGGCACTGGATGGAAATCACTCTCAATCTACAACAGTGCAAGGAACTTAGTCTTTGAAGAATTCTGACCAACAGTGCAAGGAACTGAGTGTGTCTGTTGATGGGATCAAGAAGAGCCCAACTCAGCTGAGAAGGCTTAGATCCGGGCAGGCAAGGAGATTGGTGTTGCTGCTTCTGATAAAAATGAGAGAAGCCCAGTTGGGATTAGGAAACCAAGGGAGGAATTATTGAAAAGTCGCATATACCCTTCAAAATTCAGTCACGTGACCATCGCGTGATCGAAAGTGACGGAATTTGTCACCAAAGGACGATTTTGGTATAATATAAAAAGTTTAAAGACGTTTGAATTGAAAATTTTAGTTGGTGGACCAAAATGATAATCGCGCGATAATTGGGGGACCATTTAAGTCATTAACCCAAAGAATTACAAAGCGAAATTCGGTAAGGATCCACTCAATGCATAAATTTCAACCGTCAATCACTCTTTCAGTTTTTTTCTACTCTGTCCTACCATCTCAAATGTTGTTCAATCTCAAATATGGTCAAAAATGTACATGACTTTTCACCTAAGAATGGTGAAATAGCATGGGACGAAAAAAATCATGGGTCATGGACTAATTAAGGAGAAAGTTAAGAAGAATCGGTTCTTGGTCCAAGAATTCAGTTCTGATTCCTTCTGGATTGAAAGCATTTTCTTCCCATCATCCCATGCAATATGCTGCATAAAAAAAAATGTAATTGCTTGGATATTAATTAAACTCTCAATCAAGTGTCAACAGAGCACATGGCCATTGGTTACCAACACCTTAAGATACGTTAATTAGGCACATGATATGGGATCCACCATCCAAACTCAATTTCCTTCCTAACAAATTTAAGGGTTTTGCACCAAACATCTCTACTTTTTAAAGGTGATACCTGTAATATGTGCCCATGTGCACTTTCACAATTTATTCATAGCATAATTAGTCAATTTAATTATATACCATATGTAGCATATGCGGGTTAGGTTAGTTCTGTTTATTTTTGTTTATTGCTAAAGTTAAAAAAAGGAAAGGCGAAAAACTTACAAACATGAGTACCATGAGGATTTGAACCCATGACCACTTGGGAGCACACCAAAAGCCTAAGCCAATCCAACTAACACATTTGTTACCCTACAACTTACACACACGGGTACCATTGGTATTAAGTTAGTTCTAACTAGGTACCTGCCCCTTGCACTCGAATTCAAATTAGGAGCACTTCTACCCATTTACCATGACAAAGTGTAAGGCAAGTAAGGGCAGTTATTGTTTGCGTGAATAGTATCTACCCTAATAATTTTTATATTTTTTTTGCTTTTTCACTCATTGCCATGGCAACTCAATGACAATTACTATTCACATGAGATTAATTTTATTTATACATATGAGATTAATAAATAAAAAAATTATGAAAATTTTGGTTTTTTAAATTTATTTTATTTTTTCTTTGCTAGCATCAGCACCCTCAAGCAACAACTCGGGTTGTTCTTGCCTTCGGGCCTGCCCAGTCTTGATGGAGCCCACCATCTACCCGGATTGGATTTGATTAGTAGAGTGTGTTTTTGCAGCCCAGGGAGCCTTTTGCCATGACAATCCAAACCAGTGAAACTACTCTAATACTTTCTCATAAATTAGAATAATTATCACATCACATTGTCAAAACAAAACAATAAAATTACGCACAATATGTACATTTTGGATTTCATAGTTATTCTTAGTGCCAAACTTGTACACAAAGTTTCTTACTTCTCTTTTAATTAGCAAAGTAACTTGTTTGGCAAAATTTAAAGAGGAATCTGAGAAATGACAAGGAACTTCGAAGAGGAACTTTGGAAGCCCAAAATCTCATGAGTTAGTAACACCTCAATAGGTTATTTCACAAATCCCGCTTGGCGCCTGGTTTTCAGTGCACTGCCCAGTTCAACAAATTGCTAAGCCTGGTCTTCATTGCCCAATTCGACAAATGGGACCAAATTATTAGAAATAATTGTAGGATTTGTGGGAACACAGGAAGATACAAGTGAAAAAAGGAGAATTCCTTAGGTCAATTAATCAGGATTTATCTGTGAGATCCACGTGTTGTCAAGTTGACATCAATTCTACGTGACAAAACCTCATTAGCTCATAAAAAGAAGTTAGTTGTCCCATGACGTTGAAGCGATCTTCTTCAAACTAGTAAGTAGGAATTATCCATTCTGACACAAAAAAAAAAGTATGAATTATACATGGTAGACAAAAATCTTCCAATATTTAATTACGTTAATAATTAATTAATAGGTGAAGGGTGTTTTGTGAAAGAGAGAGGGGGAGAGAGAGAGAGAGAGAGAGAGAGGTGACGGGTGTTTGTCTGGATGTTGAATTTTTTGAATCACATTTATTTTATTTTCTGGAATATTTGGTATGGTGTCATTTTTATTTCAATTAACAAGAGAGGAGTTGAATTTGTATATTTTTTCAGTATTGAGAATAAAATTTCATGTTTTTAAATGAACAACACAAAAAAGATAAATAAATGAATTTCATATTTATGAGAAATTACCCAACCCAATTCACAAACTAAATAATTAGCCAAACAAGTGATTTTACTAATCCCATCATTTTGAGTTCCCTTACTTCAAAATTCCATCATTTTAAAATCCCCTCACTTTGAAGTCCCATCTTCAAAATAAGGGTGGAGTTAGTGCGGTTACTGACCTAGATTCCAGGCATCCGAATATCGACCAACATCTTTGGTATAGCCCATAAACAGAACCGTCACCGCCCATCGTCAATTTGCCGACTTTTGGTTTTTCTTGGTTTTAGAGTCGGCTGCAGTTGGTTTCAGTCCTACCGTCGTCGAGAAAGTTTGTCGTCGTCTTCAAGGCAAATCATTTTCGACAAGCCACTTATCCACCCATTTTTGCACAAAGAGAGAGAGAGAGAGAGAGAGAGAGAGAGAGAACGCGTTGGGGTAAATAGTGGAAAATGCATTAGCAATATGATGTTTCGCAGTTTCACCAAGGAATCATGTTGGCGTAGTGGAAAATGGTTGGGTGCGCAAGCTGGCCTTATTTCCAACTTCTAACATACTTAATATTTTTTGCTGGACCACTATAGCGGTTTGGTTTGGTTCACTATATTCCGAACCGCTTCGACAATCAAGGGCTTTGAGTTGGGCCAAAAAAATCGAGAGATTGTCGATTTTTTAGGCCAAAATCTCGAGTCGTATTGGTCGGTTTGTCAAGTTATCGGGCGAAAATCCCAGCTCTAATTCAAAATACCCCATCCAAACACACCCTTAAACAATTATTACTTTATCATGATGTTAACGGAACTTTAGATCAGCTTAATGATCGATCATGCTGGGCGTTGTCAAAAAAATTCAAGCAAGCGTTCAACATGCAAGAAGTATTATTGTTTTCAGCTTTATTTATTCTTATTGCTTTTCTCATCCAACAGTCCATGGACCAGACCACTATATCTTATGAGAATAAAATTAGCATCTGATTTAGCATTTTCTAATACCAAATAATTAGATTTGTGACATTTATAATGCTTTTCGATTTTGTGACTTAAAGACTGACAAAACATATTATAGCTTCCAAAAATTTGAAATTATTGAGATAAAAGAAGTGGTATATATTTGTAAATTGTTGAAGAATGTAAAGTACCACGTCAAAAACTTGACAAAATAAAATACGATATATTATGTGGTTCCACTACTAATTTTACAAAACCTTTTTGGGTACAAAAACTGGTAGGTGGAATAATTAGGGGTGGACATTTGAAATGAGGAGCCACACCAAACTGAACTGGAAAAAAGGGAAAAAAAATAGTTTTGACTTGAACCGATTCGGTTCTTGAATTTGACCACTTAAAAATCGAACCGAATGTAATATATAATGTTAATTGTATTAGTGTTGTGAACCTTGAGTGCAAACTATGAAACTCGAACTCTTACAAGGGAAGGGGGTCTCTCATGCACCCACACAATCAAGATATCATAGAAGTTTTAACGTGAGACCCGTTTTTTTAATTAATCATAAATCTGAGACCTCTTTATCACTGGCTTGACCGCGATGACAAATTTTTCCTCTTTTAGACACTATGGCTTTAAGCCGTTGCAACTACGCAAACTTCCCATATTCTCCGAAATTTCCATGTTGACCCTACCGACCAACGCGCTAAAATCAAGGTCACAAAATAAGCTCACATTCCTCCGTGTGATTGTCTTTCTCACATTCAAAACACCTTCTCCTTCCCTTGTATTTAAGAAAAGCAGAGAGACCTCAATTCGCAATAACGTAGCTCAGATCTTCACATCCATACCCACAGGTATGGCTTCTTCTCTGTCCATGTATATCAATCTCTGAATTCATTTACGCTGCAATGGAATTAGGTTTTGATCTGCATTTGTTTGATATCGATCGTTATTGCTTTTTGTGTTTTTGGCTCAGTTTTGAGTTGCATTTTATCTGATTTTGTAAATTCTGCGTGGATCTGATTTGATCCGTGTTTGCTTGGTTTGGTTACGCACTGTTTGGGAGACACTAGCAAGCTCAAGCCTTTTCCTTTCTGTTTAACCATTTTTTGGTGATTGATTGTGTTTCTTTTGAATTTCAGCCTACATTTGTCAGTTTAGTGCTCGATCTGAGTCTCCATGATGCTTTAATGTGTATTCACGTTGAATGATTCGATCAATTCATTCCTGTTTTTGGTTAAATTTTGGCCTTTCTGTTATCTGATTATGCTTATTCTTCTGCGATCTCAAAGGTAGATATGATTGGTGTTGAATTGAATCCTGAGAAAAAAGGAGGGAAAGATTGAGGAGGGAATGATTGACAATGAAATTTTGAATTTTTTACATGTTGATTAACTTGCAAAGATAAGTCGCGAAGCTTGAGCATTAGATCAGAACTAAAACTTTTATGTTTGTTTTGCATACCGTCTTCTATTCTGCACCCGAATTGATCATTATGATTGCCGTGTTGGATCTGTGGTGAATTGAGTGAGTGAAGGTTTTGAATTGAATGATTTGAAATTTGTAATGGGAAAGATCTAGTTCTGATAAATTTTACATTTCTTTGGAAAAATTTAATCACTTTAATGATCAAATCTATGCCTTTTGTTTTGCTAATTTAATATGCATATTTTGTTGTGAAGAAATATACAATTTAAAATTTGTTTCTGACTTGTATGGCCTCTGCTTGTATAGATCACACAGTTTATAAGATTTGTTAAAAGGCACTTTGCTACATTATGAAGCCAAGTTTGGACATTTAATGGGTTATTGTGATACACATGACATTGACTATTTATATCACTGCGGTGGCTGTCCCAACTAATATTATGACTCTTGGTGGAAAATTAATATGTTTGTATATACATATGTGCAGAAAACATATAAATATGTGCTTAGATGTACCATGCATACATGACAGTTTTGTTAGCATGTTAAATCTTTTTGCACATTCAAGAAAAAGCATTGATTTTTTTATTTGTTTGTATACCTAAAATTTTATAATTGCAATGTTTTGGTTTGTGCAGATAGGTAATCAGACACATTTAGTTGGTGCCCATGGGAACAGTTGTTGATGCTGCTGCTAAGAAGGTATACCTTGGCTTTTGCTTTTAGTATTAAAAGAGATTCTGCAATTATGCACTGCTTCTTCTGGAAATTTTGTCCAATTTAAGTTGATACTGCATTCTTTGGTCTGTTCAGTACTAAATTTACTGAAAAATGAAATGCTTTCATTTAGTCTTCTCCTGAGAACATTATTCTGGATGATGTTTGTTGTGGTTTCAATATATATACATATTATATGTTTATATTTATTCTGACAAATACATCCTACTGCAGGAGGCTAATGGAAGCTTAGCTGATCTGAACCCTACAGTTGTTTTTGTATTGGGTAAGAAAAAAATATAACTTGAACTAGTAGTATCCTAATCATCCTTGTTTCTCTGAGATTTATAGCTGTTTGCTACCTGAAAGAAGATGTACTAATCTTGTTCATGATTTTAATTGCCTGTTTTTGCTTTTTTCTTAATAGTTCAGGGAAAACATGTGCATGATTTAAAGTCCTATCTCAAAGCAATGATCTTTAAGCATGATCCATAGGCATTTTAGTTTTTATTTCAATTTACCCTGGTATGGGAAGACGAATTACTGAAATGATCATTAGGTTTGTTTACTAGCGGTGTTTTATTTATACATTCTCTTTCTGTTTTTTACTGGCTATACTAAAGCCTCCAGTCATTTCTTTGGTACCACTCCTCTCTTCTTTTGAAGTATCTATGGTGTCTTTTACCAGTTGTTTCTTTTGATTGCCTAGGTGGCCCTGGCAGCGGAAAGGGTACCCAATGTGCAAACATTGTTCAGCACTTTGGGTATACCCATCTCAGTGCTGGTGATCTTCTACGAGCTGAAATCAAATCTGGTTCTGAAAATGGGTATGGCATATCTGTCTTATAACCTAGACAAATGTTCATTTTGAAATAATCTCTCTTTACGGAAACATGCATCTTAAGATTAAGAAAGATGCTTCAAGTGTAATTAAGATTGAAGTCTTAAAATCTCACACCCTCACACACATGCATTTAATTCCTGGGATATTTAGCTTTCCAATGTTTCAATAGTTGTGTAGTCTACTATTTGCGCTTGATAGTTATTTCATTTTATGGTAGTGGGTTATACGATGAGTTCAGTAAAAGATATCTCCAGTTTCCATGGATTCATAGTCAAACAATAGCCCCTCTTATATAAGATGAGGTGTGAGGTTACTCAACGGGTAAGGTTAATAAGGTTGAGGATGGTTGCCTTTGTTGTGTACACTGGTCCTTGTCTCACCATTTGATTAAGAATGAGCATACTTGGATTGTAATTAGTCTTTTCCAATTAAGCCAAACACTTGAAAAAGTGTTTGCACAAAAGTGTCTTATTTTATGCCCTTAAGTTGAGAAATGATTGTAAACTTAGGCTGGACTTTGTATTCCCATGAAATTGTTTACATCTCTTCATGTAACAACACTGACAGGACCATGATTTCAAATATGATTAAAGAAGGAAAGATTGTTCCTTCCGAAGTAACAATTAAACTTCTTCAGCGAGCAATGCTGGAAGGTGGTAATGACAAATTTTTGATTGATGGGTTTCCTCGTAATGAAGAAAATCGTGCCGCATTTGAGGCTGTGGTAAGCCCTTTGCATACGTTTTCCTCATGATTTTAACTGTAGCTTTTGGTAATTGAATATTTTTTCAAAATGATTGATTTACTTGTTGAAGCTAATGCCAAACTCTGTTAATGGTTCTGCAGACTAAAATCGAGCCTTCATTTGTCCTGTTTTTTGACTGTTCTGAAGAGGAGATGGAGAGGCGCCTCTTGGGTAGGAACCAGGTTGGAAAACTATGATTTCTCCTTGTAAAGGATTTTGTATACTGTCTTAGTATGATGATATTTTCTATTTTTGGTTTTCAAAATAATTATGTTGATTTTTTGAATTTTTTTTGTTGGGGGCAATGAAGGGAAGAGAGGATGATAACATAGAAACAATAAGGAAGCGATTTAAGGTTTTCCTAGAGTCTAGTCTCCCTGTGATAGAGTACTATAACTCCAAGGGGAAAGTTCGGAAGGTAATTTTTCGATTTGTTTTACTTTTCCTGGCTTTTATGTCACTACATTGTATATTTAGTTATAATAATTCGTGTTAACCATATGTTCTTGCATGTTTGTTGAGATCACTGTTGTTTTCACCCTCAGATTGATGCTGGAAGGCCCATCGAAGAAGTTTATGAGTCAGTAAAAGCTATTTTTGCCCCAAAAAATGATAAGGTAATGGGCCATTGCCATGCTTTGATGAAATGCTTAATCTTATTCTGGATGTAATGGTTTAAGATATGATAAGGGAGTTTGTGGATGCTGTTCAATGGGAGTGTATTGTCTTCCTAGTGTGGTTTTGTAAATATAATTGGTGAACTAAATGCTTCAGATAGTAAGCTTTATTGGCAGCCTATATTGGGAAACCAACTTCATTAGATAACAAAAGGGGATACTTGAGTTTAACGTTTTATGAAAGTGAAGGAACTTTTTAGAATTATAAATGACCTAAGTATGATGTAGTTTAATGTTGACATATGTGTCCTTATCAGTTATCCACAATTGTAAGCACAATTATGGCAAACCAAATTGATCATGTAAGGCAAATCATCAGAATGTAGCTACAGTCAGAAGCATAGCTCGAAACAATGCAACTTAGAACATAGTAGGAACAGCATATGTGTGCATATGCCTGTAGTTGGAGGTTGGGATTTAAAACAATTGACCAGAAATGTTTGAGGGCAACTGGCTAGCTAAAACCAAACAGGAGGGGTAAAAAAAGGAACTGAGAGATTTCTCACACTTCAGATCAAGGGCGGAAATTTGTTTGACATGTTTTGATATGGGTTTGAATTTGAAAGTGACGGGTTGGGTTAAAAACAATGAACTGCCTGTAAAAATAACTTGAACTGTACCAAGAAGAGAAATTCAAGATATGCTAGTCTCTTTTTATAATTTTCTTTCCTGTGGAATCTTAGCATGCAGTTGCTCTCATCTGTACATTTTCCCTTGTCATGGACGTTAACTTGAATTGCACCAAGAAGAGAATCTAGATATGCTAGTTTTTTATCATTTTTTTTCCTAAATAAGTTTGTTTGCCTGTGGAATCTATCATGCAGTTGACGAAGTGCACATTTTCCCTGTCATTGATGTCAACTTTTTTGGTTTGCAGGCTGATTAATTGCTGCAAGTGTGTCCAAGATTTCAGATCTTATGTCTATTGAGGTAAAACCTTCATTTTGAACCACAAAAATAACAGTTTACACGTGGTGATATCACCTGGTTTTAATTCTGTGCAAAACTTTCAATTTGCACATAAGCACACATTCTCTTTTTACATGTTACATTTAGGACCAGGAATCTCAAAAATTAGATATAGAAATAGAAAAGAAGGGAAGATGTGTTCTCATGTAACCCCACATGACTGGAATAAAGGTAGCAATGAAGTTGATGATGGTGGGTTTTCCATTTAGGACCAGGAATCGGAACTATTCGGGTCACTTTTAGGGTTTACAATATTAATTGAGATTAAAAGTAGACACTCAAGTTTTGTTTGTAATCTTTGGCCTAACAAAAAAACTTTGTTCACAATCAACTGCTTGGCAAACTGAGATGCCTGAGCAAAAACATGCCTCCGACATTCAAATGCCTGTGTTTAATTCAAGTAGCCTCCACCATCACACACACCTCCACATGCATGCACACAGGCAGTCTCACTATTTAACCTATGCAAATGTTGACATGTTTTTATCTTTCTGTGGTGTCTTTCTTTCAGGTGATGCAATTGTTGGCTGCATATATTGTTTTCTTTTGAGGGTTTTATTCTTGATGCTTACATATTATAGAATGTATTCTAGACACTTGAGGTGTATGCCTCTAGTCTTATATTGGTGATTGTTTTCTAATTTTAAGGTTTATAGTAATAATTATGGCAGTAATCTTCTGTTTCAAGTGTTATAAGTAGCTATGCATCCTTTACCCCCTTTTGCTTCTTGTGGGATAAAGCGCTCGAATTAGAAAATTTGATGAAAGACAGCAATTAAAAGAGAGGAAATTTCATTGAAAGTGATTGTTGCAAAGATGCATTGTACTTATAATTTTCTGTGTTCCTTTGTGATGGGTTGATAATCAAGGAAATTATTGGTTTTGGGTAAAGTTCAAATTTTATTTCCTTATATCGTTAAAGAGAAAAAAAGTAGATTAAAGTTAAGTTAATGGTTTTTAAATTAACACTTAAAACTGATGTACATGTTAACTTTAACACAAAAAAGAACTAGAACTGATTCTCACAGGTTCTAAACGAACATGATTCCGTTCTCCCTAATGGTATCGAGAACAATTCCAAGCCTACCCTCAATCCTCTCATTCTTTTTGGGTTCAAAAGACATTGCAAATACATCAGCATCCTTGCACCTCTCTGCGATCAGGTTTCCTATGACTCGACACGCATCGTTGTCGACAAGCGACGTCAACGAATACCTCAAATCCTTGGAATTCGTGCTGGCCACGGATATCACTTTGCTGGTACCCCGGTGCATCACTTTGGCATGGATAAATCGTTTTGAAAAGAAAACATCCAGTAAAAATGGCCTCATGTACATATCTGTCCTTTGCGACCATGATTTCCTATTAGGTCTTTTTGCAGCCTCACCTCGAGATCTCCGGGTCCATGCAGCTCGAATGAAGGAATCCTGCGAAACAAACACGAGCACTGGTTGAAAGTTTAACTGAGGAAGAATCATGACTCGTGCAATCTAAACTAGCCCTGATGTAGGCCATAATAACTATAATACAATTTAAAGACTTCTACTTTGTTGTAACCAGGGAAAACAGCTAAGCTTCTACTGTTAAGCACAACATTATTATGTCATATTAATCAGTTCCTCTTGCATTAAAAAACCAAATAGTTGAATTCCACCATAGCTTATTGTCCAAAAGATTAAGCTCAATGCCAGTCTTGTATAGCCCAGTTGGTTGAACTCTTCCACCTCCATCCATGTAGATAGAGGTTCGAAACCCTTAGGCAACCAATAAATATTTGTGTAAACCCCCCTCCCCCAATTGCTTGTATGAAAAAAGATTAAGCTCAAACGTACCAAAACCAACAAATTCCCTTTAGCTACGCAGCACAATTAGGACTTTATGAAGTAAATTGGTTCATAACCATCATAAACATAACGAGATAATTTGAATACTAGCCAGTCTTCAAAATATGACAGCCATAAAAGAAACCACTACTTATGGCTAAGTCCCACACCTTTTATTCTCCTAGTCATTTCGGCAAACACCTTAGCTACATCAATTGAAATCGAAGTGGGCATCCACGAAATTATAATCCTTATACACAGCACATAACCATTCTATAAGAAATCAAGCAAAATGTCTTTTTTTTTTTCAATACACAAAATAGAATTGGGTCAGTTGCTGTTAATTAAGGTGACAAAAAAACCTACGGCTTTCTCATCACATTTAAAACAGTCATTTGGGTTTCCTACAACAGATGATTCAGTCCATATGCATGCAATCACAACTTCAGAAAATCAATGTTTATGAACAATTCCCAACATTTTTCTCATGATAAATATTAGGATTAAACAAGAAAAGTAAACTTAAAATAAGACAAGAAATAGAAAGTGAAAGAGAAGTAATGGAAACATGCCTTGTTTTGCGTGTGAAGGGAACTAGAAGGGGCTGTGATGCAATTGAAGGAGATGCCAAGCTTGGGAAAAGAAGATGCCCATGAGAGCCGAGCGGGTTTCACTGAACCACAGGGATTTGACAAAAGAGGAGGAGGAGGAGCTGATATGCAGGCCATCTTAAGTTTTTTGTTTTTGTTTGTAGGGACTTTCCTGTTGAGAGATACAATAATATATTAAATTAACACACACTACACTTGTGTTAAGACTTGAACCCGAGATGGTACCTCGAGCGGCAATTATTCCAAACCACTAGCATTTAAACTCATTGTCGCCCTTTGTGGTGCTCGAACAGACGACCGAAACGATAAAGGCCTCGCGCTCTGCCAACCCTAAGTTCTTAATTCTCTACTTCAGAACCCTTGAAGGAGGTAAAATCATTTTGCGTCTATTACTCTATTAGTTTCACGAAGAAGTTAGACACAAGTGAAATTCGAAAGCGAGAGAGAAAAAGAAAAAGAAAAAGGAGACGATGAACGACTTGGACTCTGAAATCTCCTCAATGAAACCCGGCAACAATAATAATGCTGCCAAGGTCACAAAGCCTCCTTTCTTACCAGCCAAAGACGACACCAAACCTGTGCTTCAAGACCCAGTCAGTTCTCTCTCTCTCTCTCTCTCTCTCTCTCTCTCCATGCAATACAAACATGAAGGTTTTTCTTTAATTTTTTCGGTTTGATTTTTAATATTTGGGCTCTCTTTTTTTATTTTTGTTGTTGGTAGATACTGAGGTCTGATCCGATTGAGACAGAGGAAGCTGTGCTTCGGTTGCCTACACTTCCTATTAACAGTTCAAAAAATCCTCAACCCAAAATGATTTGAGATGATGTTACTCTATGGAGAATGAATGATGAAGTCTGAATGATATTAAATGGTTCAAGATTTCCCTTTATATTACCTTTTCTTTTTCTTCTTATTAATGTAATATTTCTGGGTGAAAAAGCTCTTCTTAATTCCAGTGTTATTTGCCATTTAATTTTTGTTGGGCAAAACGCAGAGTTTTTATTTTATTTTTATACATGTTGATTTTGCATCTTCATTTGGTAGCATTACAATTTCAATATATATATTTTTGGTCGTTTTATATTAGGATAAATTAGTAATTCAATAAATAGTTTAGTAGTACGGTGTATTTAGTTAATTTTAGAATTCGTTTAACAACACTATATAATAATTCAACCCTCCATTTGGATGGAGGAAAATAACTTGAGATTTAGCTCAAAGTCGGAAATTGAAGAAGATAAATTGATTTTCCATTGTTTGGCAACGTAAGTATGAAAATTGTTAAATGACGCGTGGAAAAAATCACGAAAATTAGATATCAAGATTTCCAAATATAATTTCCGCCAAAAGAGACTTCATTTCACAATTTCAATTGAGCATGAATTCGTTTTTTACAATAATTTTTGTCATTTACAAAATTCGACATGTATAAATCCAAAAACTGAAATTATTAATTACCAAAATTTTTAAAACGATAGAGATCTAAATTTTGTCATTTAAAAATTCTACGCAATTGTCAATTTCTTTATCCAAACATAGGGCAAGTGATGAAAGCTAATGCCTTATTCATTATAAACAACCAATGTATGGGTCCATTGAGGAGTACATGCAAAAGTAAAGTGAAATATACAAAATCGATAAGAAAGATAGAGAAGAAGCATGTCTTCTTCATTGGTCGAAGATCAAAGATTCTAATACAACTACTACATCTCCAAGCCTTAACACTTAATGAAGGTTGGACTGCATAATTTATGAGTATTGTCATGTCAACAAATAAGTGTGCAAAAATCGGCTCACCCTTAATGAAGTTGATAAACTGCATCGGCATTGATTAGTTCGAATCGGAAGGCCCCAAGTCTTGTAAACCTTAATCAAATCCAACATGCCCATAATCAGTTATGGTAAACCCTAATAAGTTATGGCAGGCTCGAATCAGGTTTGGTAAACCCTAATCAGATCCGACAATATTCGAATCAAGTAGAGAAGCCTAAGCCAACTCCAAAAGTATTGTCAAGATACCAAGCCCAAGTTCGTTCACAAGGAATTGGGAAGACACCAACATGTCTAGACCTCCTAACATCTCTTTAAGAAGGAACTAATCCTAATTGAATCGCAACATTTTTAATAATTCGGATTAAAACCTGAAAAAAAATAAAATCGAGTATTCGGGTTGACCCGACCAAATTTACCCTTTTAAGTGACAAGAATTACCTCTCTTGTTGGCACGAGAGAGAACTTGTACACAATGAAAATGTCGTCCCCGAATGACACACGTGGCGCTAAAGCAGATCTACCCAGTGTACCCAAAATCAGGAAGAAGACTGCTCGCATCTACCAAAAAACGAAGTGACAAATTAGCAAACAAAAACAGACTCTCTCCGTCCTCTGTGTCTGTGCTGCAAAGAGGGGGAAGAAGAAGAAGAAGAAGCGCAATGGAGGACCAACTGAAACGCTGTCGTTTCCCACAATTCGTGCTCCAACCTCCACTTTGAGAGAGAGTTGGGCTTTCAGCTTTTGCTTCGTCAAGATCCACGAGGAAGAAGAATTGGAGTGAAAACAGAGCCAAATGTTGCCGCGCAGGTTATCCGTCATTTTTGGAGGCCTAGGATCCGACACGAACACTGTGACTAACGAGCTCTTGCCCACTCTCAAGGTCCAAACGGATAAGGAAGTCTACAGGCCCGGCGATCCCATTATCATCACCATAGAGATTTCGAACCCTAGCAGCAATGACGGTACGGCTTATTCGCTCTTGATCGAACGTCTGGGGTTTGAGATTAAAGGGATTGAGAAGCTCGATTCCCAGTGGTTCGCCACGCAGAAACCCACGTCTGGATCTAAACAGAGAAGAGGTAGCCAAAAACAAAAAGGAGAACACATTGAATAATTTGGTTTCTGTTTCAGTGGTTTTGGAATTTATTTGTGTTTTCGTGTTTTTTTTTTGGTTACATGAAACATGTAGGTGAATATGTGTTCATGGAATGCTCCACTCAAGCGCTGGTGACGAATCAGATTGTTTCCCCGGGGGCCAGGAAATCATGTGAGGAAAATTTGTGGTTTGTAAGATTGTGAATATTGTTTTAGTGTAATTTAAGATGCTTTGTAAGTAGTTTTGAGTCGTAGGTGTTAGGATTTACATGGAGAAAGTGTCAATCTTGAACAAGTTTAGTGTTTTTGTTGTTGTTAGAGTTTCTGACTATTTTCTAAATATGCCTCGTCTTTTGACGGCCAAATGCATTTCATTGATGAAACAATCAAATTTGCTTCTAATTGCTAAAGGATCAGTCTTTAGAATGGATAGTATACTGAGCTAGATGATGAAGAAGTGGGCCTTTCTTCCAAAATAGCACATTACATTCAACAATGTCACACCTCTCTTAGCCAAGAATTTAACCATGATGTTCAGAAATCATCCTCTATCTTAATCAACTGGAAACCTGGTCAAAGGATAAACCAGATGTTCAAATTAGGCTTTTGCCTTTTGTTTTCAGATGAGTGGTAACATGAGCCTGATCTGATGTTAAAAAAATACAAGGAATCAATTCAGCTGCATATTTTCTTTTTCATTCCAAGGAAGGATGGTGATGTCAAGCCTTTAGCTTGCCTATCTTAAGAAAGAGCTTTTGGATTGGATTTGCTTTCAGTATCGACTCCAAATTTTCTTTCTGTTAATATTCAATGTTTTCTGCAGACGTGGTGCGGTCATTCCTGGCTAGCATTATACCACCATCATATAAAGGTGCTACCATTCGCTATATGTACTATGTTAGAAGTACAATGTCTGGCCAATGGCTGATACTGGAAAATGCTCATTCTCGTGGAGAATCAATCAAAGACTTTCCTGAAATGGTTGGATTTCCTTAACTTTCTCTGATGGATGTTGACATGAAGTTTCTCCTTTGTGATGGATTTCTGCACTGCTCTAATTTAGATTATATTTTCTGCTTCTGATGCACCATAGTGTACTTATATTTTTCTCTGATTAACAAACTTTGTCCTTTAATAAACTTTCCACGTGATGATGTTGATTGATAAATGGGCTTGTTTGGTGTCCTTGTGTTACATCCTGTGAAGCATTCTTTGCTAAATTTGAATGGTAATTTTCGGACTGTTCACTAATCAATTATAAGAATGGACTTTTTTCAAAATATACCAAAGGCTTATATGTAGTTATCAGTATATGTGGGAATCATATACTTTTTTCTTTTCCTCCAATTTCTTTTAAGCTTATGTTTTTATAAATTTTCATCTTTTTGGTAAATATAATGAACTTGCTTATCCGTTGTCGTCATTATCAAACATGTGCAATCAGATGCTTGCACCATAAATACAAGTGTAGAGGTGCATGTGTGTGTGTGTGTGAACTCCTGCTTAGGTAGATATTGGTAAAAGACCCTTGCCCTTACCGGCTAGCCTCTTTCTTTGTATATTTACTGATATGTCCACATTTTGATTTCTGAACCTCATCAACTTTAATCATTCAGGAGGCTCGTGTCCCAGTACAAGTATGGGTCACTCAGAAAACCAGTGGCTTGGTGATGGAAGAAGGTCAAAGTGATGGTGAGAATCCCTTTGGTCAGTATAATTCAGATATAGCATCTGGCTGCTAGTTTAGTGGTTTTGATCAAAACTTAACAGGGATCATAACCAAATTGTAAAATCGCATGCATCAAGCTCTCAAAATTTATTGCATTTGAGCATTCTTGTGCATCTTATGAACAAAGCAGATCATTCATCAATAGCCTGTTTGCATTTTTTTTTGTACTAATTGAAAAGATAAAGTGGAGCCATTACAATAAATTTTAGCTGTCAACTTGCTGATGGGCTAGAATCAATTTGAGAAAAAAGTGAATATTCCTGTGTCAAATTTAACTGTAGGTAAGATCTCCTTTGTTTGTGTAAGAGTAATTGGTTTGTGTGTTACCCTATATGAATGCTGCAGTTCAAGTTCTACGGGGCGGCAGACATGTCCTTGAAAATTGCTCATATTTTCTTATAGTACATTTTTCGTCTTTTTCAAGTAATGATCGGCATACCTGTAAAGTATAAACATACTTGTGTTCTAAATTTAGTCTATTTTTTCAGTTTTTGCATCTTATAATTTTGAAGTAATTTCGTGTGTCTTAATTTCCAGTCATGTTAGATAATATTTTGAGACCAGCCAATTATATATTTTCAGGGATTGTTCCTTCTGTAACCATCCAAATGGATATGTATTGGAAAGAGATGGATGCGGACTCTGATTGGGTAGGCACTTAATACCACAATATCTTTTTTTATTTGTATGTTCCTGGGAATTCTGTT